TATACCAAAAGTCCCAAACTATTGCATTCAACATAACATAAGTGAATTTCCATATTTATCAGTCTTAGACATAAAATTAGTCAATCACTTCAAACATAGAAAGTAAATAGATATTGAAAGATATTTCTAAAAATTAGTCACCTCGCTATTCTATATATATTCTTTTAGTACTCACTCAATTTTTCAGTTTGATCTATCAACTAAAATCACTATTACTAATCATTTGAAGAGAAGGAAGCAAACAAATAATATGGCCATGGCAGCTTCTACACATGTTTTCTCCATAATTTTCCTTGTTAGGTATATGCATTTCTTATCATGTATTTCTTAATAAAACTCTATGCATTTACTTTTTGAAAAAAATACTTTAGTAATCGAGCTCTATTTATTGTCATATCCCATAAACCGTAGTTTCTTGTTAGATCCACTCTAGCATCTCCAACATTACTTTGTTTTCCACTTCAAATTATTATTATTTTGAAAAAATATTTTTTCCAATTATATTTCATTTCCAACTCTAAAATAAAGTAAAAAATAGGATTACTTCATATTTGGATTAATTATATTCAATACTCCATTGTTTTACTTATATCTTCAAAAATGGAATGAGTTCAAAACTCAACTCTATACTAATAGGTTGGAAATGCTTTTAACTATATTGTTACATTTAAGATTTACTCCAATTTTAAGAAGCTTTCACATATCATCTACTTTAATTTTAACTTCAGATGTATTATTTGGTATACATCTCAAATATTGTTGTAGTTCCATGCATTAGATAATACTCCATTCGTGGAAATAATTTTTAATAAAAGTAAGTTTTAATTATTTTTTAATACATATGAAATCATAGAGCAGCACTATTTGTATCGAAACAAATTGAGTAATAATCTCGTTATCTAAGTATTAACATGGTTGGTTTGTTGGATATATAGTTGAGTACAATATGGGTTGCACTGCGAGTATGGGACCTTGCGAAATCGGCAAAAACTGTACTCCAAAATGTAAGGTTACGTTTGGAGAAATTGCTAGTGGCTTTTGTGATCGGAGTACTGGAGCCTGGAAAACCCGGAGAATGTGTTTGTGTCTATTTTTGTCCGCCTCCTAAGGCTCACATATGAATGATTTCTACTTTGAAATCTTTCATTTCTTCAAAATAAATAAATTGAAATAAAATGTTAAAAATCCGAGTTATGTGTAATCAATTTGTATACTCATT